AGATCGTAACGATTGCTGTCGGCCAAGATGAACTGCACGGGTTATATTTGTAGTTATTATCACAAATTAAAATGTATTAAAATAATCAAATGTGGTAAATACAACGTATTTTAAATGATATATACTTGACATTTTGAATTTTAACATTTTCTATAAACTTAATTGTGTATTGATTGTATGTTAGTTATTATTAATAATTACTAATAATTAATAAATCAATTGAATAATACAAAAAAGGATCTAAATTGATACATTAGTAATTACTAATTAATTACCTTTATTTAAAACTTAATTATTATTTTATTTTTTTTTACAGTATTAAGATTTGGCCGCTTTGTTGATTCATTGCATACTGCATTGCGGACAGTTAATCATTCAGATAAAACTATTAGGTATTGTGTGACATTTTCAAAGATAGCTCATTCTTTGTATTTGTTTTGCGACCATTGCTTATGGTTGAATAGAAATAACTTTTTACAAATAAATGCACCAAGATGGGGTCAAGCAGGCAATAGATATTGGCTACTATCTATAATAATGAATCTTGTCAGAGATGTTGTGGAGTTGAACAATTTATTTAAAGCAATCCTGAAAAAAAAAATTCTAAACACTTTGAATAGAAAAGTAGCTCCTAAGGACGTCTTTACTGGTGAAGCAGTCCAATTTGTTCGTAGTCATAAAGACTTGTTACTTGATACTGTAAAAAATAGCTGTGATTTAATGTTACCATTGTCAAATTTAGGATTTGTTAGGTTAAGTCCAGGTACGATAGGTGTAGTTGGTATGATATCATCAGTGCTCAGTTTGTACACTCTGGTGGACCAGAAAGCCAAGTTACCTTATACGTGAACGATTTGTTGTCATTTAAATTTACTTTTTGCTAAGTCAACAAACACCTATCAATACAAGATTTTAATAAAAATAAGGGTATATGTTATAAACTTATAACATAAGTTTAATTTGTCAAATAAAATATTTTTTATTCATTTATTTGTATATTTTATACTTGTATAAATATAATAAATAAAAATCAACTTAAAAATGTATAACTTTTATATTGTGTATGAATTTTACAAAGAAAAATTTTACTATTTTTTATTTATTTTATTATAAATGTATAATAATATGTAATTTATAAGACGTATCATCAAGTATTTTAAATAATTAAGTAATTAACAAAAATAATAACTACATAAGTCTGTTAGAATAATTTTAAATTGTTAAAGGTATTCAACTTTTGGATTCTATGGTATTTGGAGGATTGTTGATTGACCTTTTAAATAATTTAATTTAAGTGGAACAAATTAATCAATATAAAAACAAAAAGTTCTGATATAATAAAGTGTTTTCCATTTTCATTTGTTATTTATTATTTCTAATTCTTAATGCCTATTCAACCAAGAGTGCATTATATTTCTTGTGTAATGTGTTAAATTAATTAGAGGTTTTAATTTTGTATTATTGTTTTGATAAAACCTTTATTTTTATAAAATGCATTTATGGAAACGATGTGGAAACACCAGTTATATGATAAAATTAATGGAAACAAAACAAGAACTGATTTGTTCCATATCCATAATAATTATATATTCCTTAATAATAATTAATTGTATTTGTATTATTCTTTCCTATTTAAATGAAGGTCATAATAATATATTTTTTTTAAATCCACTGATATTAATTATTGAAACATAATTTTCCACACCTACATTGTCTGATTGAGGGTTCAGATTCAACAGTTAATTTATCGTAATTTAAAAAAAGAAAACCACAAACACCACTAATTAACACTATTAAATGTTTTATAATCACATAATACTATTATATCCACAATTAATATTGGTCTGTAAATTTTAAAAACAAATTGATGAATGAAATGAATGATTGAATGTTTTTTTGGTATATGTATTAGGTATATAAAATCTGCACTTGCCGGTACAATACGAAAAACAGTGCACAAGTGATTGAAATTATTGAAATTCTAAATTTTTGGAAATCATTAGTAATTTGCCCAGGCTTTAGGAATAGCTTGTTGTACCTAAAAAGCCAACCATTGACCACGTGTGACACTTTTTATCTTTTATTTCGGTATTAGCCTTACAAGTCTACACCGTTTCCGCTTTAGGTCTCCTAGAGCTAGAGGATAATCAGGAATTATATCGATCGATAAGTCTTGGATTACCTAAGGGGTTAGTGTGAGCCCTAAGACGAGTATGGAAGTGTTGGACCACTTGAAGTTATTTTTTGCTTCTTCCTGAAAGTTTTCATATACCTACCTATATCGGAGTAAAGGGTGTGTTTAAAAATGTATATTTAAATTGTATTTTATACCAGACAGCGTCCTAGCGTCCTGTTGTTTATCCTGTACAGCGTTGCAAATTAAATGCCTGTGGATTTACATGTTCTTAAACTCCGTTGCATGTAACTGTTTTCCTTCTGAATTTATTGACGAAAATTTTATGAAAATCTGTGGAGAGTCATCCGTATTAGGCCTTAGATTTTTTTTATAGTAGGTAGTAAATTGGTGGCTGATCTTGCACTGCCTTGCCCGTGACAAATTCAATAATTCCAATGGATTTACACTGTCTTAAATTTCGTTAAAAGTTAACTACCAACTTCGTACACATGGGGGGTGCTTAGCACCCCCAGGTTTAAAATTAGCACCCCCAGTTTCCTGTAAAATTTATTTCAGTAATCCACCAATAATTTATAAATTATTATGGTTTATTAAGTATTTGAGTTGGACATTTTTTTTTCCATTATAATTATAAATATCTATTAAATATCTATTTAAATGGACAATATTATAGTTCACGAATTCACAGTATTTTGTGATTGCACGTATTTTTCGTTTAAACATTAAACAATAAACAGCAATCATAATATTATAGGTAATCCTATTATCATTCATCTAATCTTAGTTCTTACTTTATATTCTTATTATTATCTACTGTTCACGGTTGGCTAAACAGTCGTGACTACGATATTATGTTCTATTTATAACTTTGGTTATTACTTGGTTTATATATTTAAAATTTCAGTACCTAAGTCTTTATAATGGCATAGGTATTGTTAAAAAATATTTATGTATGTATCTGACTATAGTGTCAAAAGAAAAACAAACTCGCAAACGTCATGAACCAGCCAAACTTCAAGATTATGCCCTGAGTCATCGAACAGGAGCAGAGTCTGAAAATAATACTTCAAACACTATTGAATATTGGCGTACAACAGTTTATTTAAGAATAATAATTGATGGAATAATTATAAATTTAGAAAAATGTTTTTCAGAAGAAAGCTTAGAGCTGGCCGAATCTGTGGACAACTTTTTTTAACTTGGATGAACATAATAGTTTTTGTTTTATAAACACTTATAAGGTATATTTGATTAATAATAACTAACTATTAAAATATTTATTACATGTTCATATCTTTTGAAATATTATTATATAGGTAATGGTAATTAATCTGTTTATATATTATATCAGGATATTTTGAAAATATCAACAACTAGTTTATCAGCAGAAATGCTGGTCTTAAAGAATAGTCTACCAGCCAACTTTGTATTTGAAGACTTGAAAAATCAATGTCATAAAAGTTCGTTTCCAAATGTCGATAAACTAGTTCAAGTGGGAATGAGAATTCCAATTTCTTCTTCAACGTGTGAACGCTCCTTCTCAGCTATGCGTAGATTGAAAAACTGGTTACTCACCATGTATGAGCCAAGAAAGTTTTGCTAAGCTATCTACGCTTAGCATTGAGAAGATCTTACCAATAAAATAGATGGGGAAATTATATTCCAAAAATTTGCATTATCAAACAGGAAATTAAATCTTGTTTGATATTAATAATTAATGATTACATATGATTATATTATAACTTATAATATAATTACTTTTAAATATTTGTTTTTATTTTAAATAAAAATTTATAATTATTGCAATGTAGTTATTATAGCATTAGGTTGGTGTGGGGGCAAAGCCCCCCACGGGTCTGGGTACCATCAGTTATTCCAACACCCCCTAAATTCACACCCAATGTGCGCCTATGTTCGTACACATATTATTTTTTACACATTAATTTGGGCGGTTTTAATCAAGTATAAAATAAACAGTTATTATTTTTCAAGTCAACAAAAATGTTTTATCTGTTTTAAGAAATAAATACATACTGAAGAGTGAACGTCTAATACATTGTTTAATTGAGTACTTACATGAAAAAAATATTTATAGGTCGGTTATGTAAAACTGAAAAAAATTTCATACAAGTACCTATAAGTAATAGGACTTGGGAAAAAAATTGTTTTTGCTTAACAAAAAAAAATGTCTAGGGCCCATGAAAAAAATCTGCCCCAGGCCCCCTCAAAACCTCCCACCGGCGCTGATACCTATACCTACGTAGTATTGGATAAAAAAAAAAACTATACTTATTAGTTATTATCGATACAGGCCATGGTCCGCTGATCGGTGGTCCTTCTCGGATTTTCGAGCCTCGACTTTTCCGATATCTCGCGAAAAACCGCACGCAGTGACCTCGCCAACCGTATATAATGTGATAACTAATATGAGACGCACGTTTTCGCTCTAACTTATATATTATTTTCACCTTGTATCCCCCGACTATGCAGTCCTCCCCGCCATTGCCCCGTAACAATATATTGGGTGGGTAGGTGTACACATTATTATTCCCTCCCCCGCACGTCGGCAATATGGTCGTAGAGCAATAATAATAACGGTCGCCGGCTCGTGTAAACATTAATAGAATAACGACTGCAGAAGTACCGCGATAGGTTTATTACGCTTTATACGCGCACGTGCACGCCGAAATTATTGTACACCTATTATACCATTCAGCGTCGCCATCGGACTGGAAACTACCCGAAAACTATATTATACATCACCCCGAAAAAATCCGGAAGCCGGCACGACCGCCATAATGTATTACGGTTGTCGCCCGTGTTATATATATTATTATGTGTGCAATAAATATGTCGCGTATATTATTGTACAGTAGTCTTACATATTATTTTAAACACCGACGGTGCAGCACACCGTTTTCGAAAAAAAAGAAAAGAAATACGTCTATAATATAATAGGTAGGTACATATTTTTTAACGTGCCACGGTGGCGTGTTGAACTCCTTTTTGGTGAGGAACAAAAATATATACAAGGTATACACCCCCCTCGATGTTTGTAACGGCATTTCCGACATAATAGCAAAAAAGTTTAAATTAAACATTTTTACAAAATTTCTACTATATAGGTACCTAGTCACCTAGGGCCTAGGCTAGTTATTTTGTGGCAGGAAGCACACCCACCAACCAACAATTTTTAAGGAGCAATTGCTCCAAAATAATACCTTCGACACGTCGCTGAGTCGTGCCACGCCGATCGCTGCAATATAGGTATAAGGTAAGTACGAGCCCGTGTTGTGGTACAACACACTAATTTTAATGGATATTATTATAAATCCGATTTAGTCGAAAACGAAATTTCTCGCTTACAATTTTTTACGTAACTCTGACCCCGCGAATCGCAATTCATGCTGTAAAGGCTGAACAGTATTTACGTCATATTATTATAATATGTTATACCATTGCGCCAAAGGCTTCATCCAGGCATTTTTTCTGGTGGCCGGAGGGTCCAAACATGTATATTGTAATTTTATTGAATTTAGGTTTTGATATTTGGTTAAAAATAAGACGTATTGAAGACATTTTTCCGGGGTCCACCCCCTCAGATACGGCCTTGATTGCACCTCCACTCGGACCCACAGTTTATGCAACCTCTAAATGTAATTAATATTCTACTATTATTTCGTTCAAAATCCTTGAACGTTTCGAATATGCACTTTCTTGAACTTAAAATGTATTATAATATTTTTATTTCATTAACGTACCCATATTTTAGAAAATTATTCTTGCTTCTTATATTGTTATTATATTACATTATTGATTATTACCTATACTTATATATAGAGTTCAGAGTTGAATTGTAAACCATTTAGTCATTTTTTTCTTGTTTATTGTGTAAAATTACCATATCATTTTCCCTATTAAATTATTAAAATATTAAATAATAATACCTACTTGTCTTATTACTTTTAACTATAGCCTCTACCTATACATTTCTTAAATTAATTTCACCCAACAATGTTGTCATTTTCAGACATGAATCTGTGCCCAATTCACACTTGTGAACTCCCTTAATATTTGACTGGTTTCCTAATGAAACCTATGGTAAAATATTATAGTCATAATGTAATCACATTAAAAAAAAACAATATATAATTATATTATTAAACTTGTGTCGCGTCTGAAACTATTACCGTCTACCAGGACGTCGGAGACGTTGGAGTATTGTAGACGTGACATTTATCTTCGTTTTCCCTCGGGAAAAATGGTACTGTGGTCGTGGTAGGAGGAATGAGGATTTCCTCTAAGGTCACAATTTAAAACGGTAAACGAAATGACATAAATTCCCCATGTGGTTGCGTGTCTACCTATATTTTTACTGTAAGCCGAGCACAAACGTGAACGGTTTTCCGGGCTGGAGTGGGACACGTTTGGCGTGTTAAGTTTTCTAAATGATAAATAAATGAATAATAATAATTCATATTATTTTATGTATACAGTTGCTCGGTATACACGACTTTTGACGTTTGAGTAAAAAGCGATTTCGACAGGTGGTTCATTTTCCAATTTTGAATTGTTTTATTCGGCAAGGTCTGCTGCTGCGACTTCCGCTGTGATTTTCGCCTGACGCGTCTCATTATATAATATTATGAGAGTTATGAGTTAAGGCAGCGATTTTATCTGTGGTCATCACATTGAATCGTTGGCTTTGGTTTACAGTCATTTCGATTGGTTGGAATGAGATACGAGAAACGGCCACACAATGAATGGTGGTATTATTTTTGCCACTGAATTGAGTCATTCTACTATAATATTTAATCAATACTTTTTTTTTAGCAAACTCTAAGGGTGGTGGTCTATTGCTCCAGTCGTTCACTGGTCTTATAATAATATGTATATAATATTATATAATGTTCACATATTATATACCTATATTCATATTATAGCCACACGCCCATAATATAGGTATAATATAGGAAATATAGGTAGCTGGCGACAAATCATTTATAAATATTTTAAATAAATAAAATGTAATTTCTAAACTAGAATATCATTCACTTAGTGTTTGGATGTTTCTATAGGAGGTATCATATTTTTATATTTATTTATTTATTAAGTATTAAACAGCCAATAGACAACATAATTACAATCATTATGATAATTGATACCTAATGTACAACAGAATAAGAATCTAATATTAATAATGATAGTAATAATAATAATAATAATAATAATAATAATAGTATTAATAGTATTAATCATTAACATATAACTTATAAGTAAATATGTCTATGGAAATTGGTAGAAATAATAAACAATGTACAATAATTATTGAAATAAACATAGCGTGTTTAAGTGTTAAGAATTAAATAATTACAATACGATTTGTATGAGTCTCAATTTGGTGATCTGAACATAGAACATATCAATTTTAAATAACACATACGTAGTTGAAAACATACAAAATAAATAAGCCAATAAATAACTAATCTCTACCATGGTCTTATGTCTTATGTCTTATGTCTTATGTATAACAGGTTATTTTTATCTTATTAGTATTTGTGGTATCTATATTACTTCAATGTACTCGATGTACCTTCCTAAAAGATGACTGCAGCGTCGCTTAACACATTGACGGACACTACTGCTATAGCAGTAATTTATAATTTTGATGTTAGGTGGCATGACTGCTATAGCAGTAATGTGAAACATTTCATATTATGGCATTACTGTTATAGCTGTACTTATTCTAATGGTATCAAATGAAAGTAGACATCAGATTGCCGCATCGTGTTAGGTTAGATAATTGGGCACTGACATATTTTACAAGGAAAAAATACCAATATAATATACAATTTTCTATTTTTAGAATTCGGGTATATTATTGTTTATGCTGTTAATTCTATTGACTCACGTTATCTTTATTAACTGATTATTATGAGATTGTTCGAACCAGACGAACGACAGTCGACGAACTAGTACACACTACACAGCAGTATTATACGCACTGTGCAGTTGCTTAGTACCTAATGGCTAATACGTCTTGTAAAACACATAAACAATTGTAATTTTGTCATATATTGTATATTTTCATTCTTTTAAATATGAACCGAAGACAGATTAGTGAAATTCAAAATTATTTAAATGAGAGTGATAGTGGTTCTAGTTTGTTTTCTTGTGGGGACGATTCGGATAACGATCCGAGTTATGAACAACCAAGGCCACATTCTCAATCTTTGCCACCTGTACGTTGTTCGTTTGATTCTGGTGACGACTGTGGACCTGAACTTACTGGATCAAATAATTATCAAAATTCAGATGACAACTTGTCGGTGGATGACACATTAATTCAAAATTTTCAGACAGCTTTTATTCCTACCGAACATTTATCAATAGATGAATCATTATTGTTACACCGTGGTCGAATTATATTTAGACAATATATAAAAAACAAGAAGGCTAGGTATGGCATTAAATTTTACGAACTCACTTCATATGATGGGTATGTGCTCAATATAGAAATGTACCAAGGAAAGCAAGAACAATCAGCTGTACCATCTAGGACATCAAAAATAGATAGTATTGTTTTAAGGCTAATGAATAATTACCTAAATAAAGGGTTCTCTCTATACATGGACAACTATTATAACAGTGTGACACTTTCAAATACTTTACTTGAACTAAAAACGCACACAACTGGGACTTTAAGAAAAAATCGTAAAGGAAACCCAAAAGTTGTAGTTGATAATAAACTAAAAAAAGGACAACATGTATGGAGACGTAAAAATAATGTTTACGTAAGTAAATGGAAGGATAAGCGTGATGTTTTGTGTATAACAACTAGAGTACATCCAAAATTAATACAGTCAGAAAATCGGTACGGCCAACAAAAGAACAAACCGTCGGAGATCGTCGAGTACAACAACTATATGAATGGTGTTGATCGGTCAGACCAGATGGTCAGTTATTATAACAGTCCAAGAAAGACATGTAAATGGTATAAAAAGGTAATTTTTCATTTACTCGATGTTACAGTTTGGAACTCGTTTTTTATCTATAAAAAACATTTTGATACTCCAAATATGAAATTTAAAGCTTTTCGTGATTTACTCATTAAAAATTTGTTCAATATTCCGAACAATGTGACTGCAAATGAACTGTTTGTACTAAAAAAAAAGCCATCAATACCTCCAGCAACCAATCACTATCAAGAAAGAATACCAATACCAGAAAATTATAAGAGAACTATTTATTACAAAAATTGCTTACAGTGCTACAAGACCAATAAAATCAGAAAACAAACGTCTTTCCAGTGCAAGCAATGTGCAAAACCACTATGTGCTGGTTTTTGTTTTGAAGCATATCACAAAAATTTGTAATTAATATGATTGAATGTTATAATTGTATTCAAAAGATTTTTTTTTTCAATGAAGCTTATATTTATGTTAACATGTTTATATACTATTGATGTACTATTTGTTTAAAATGTTTTTAAATTCATACAATTACAATTAATATTGTTTATATTTAAATTCTCATAATAATAATACAGATTTATTGGTTGTATATTATGTAATAATTTATGATTTTGATGTATTATAATCAAAAAAAATGATTACAGCTATAGCAGTAATGTCAACTTGCATCGAATTTTCAATGTACGTACAACACAACTGCTATAGCAGTAATAAAGTTATTACTGCTATAGCAGTAATAAAAAAGTGCGTTTTAAAAGCAGGTTATAGGAATTTAGGTAAATGAAAACTGTCCGTCAATGTGTTAATAGTTTCCACACCACCTATACTTATTAAGGGGCCTCGGTACGGTTATTATTTAAGGGGAAACATTTAGGCAATTTCTAATCTTGTCATAGCTACCGGGATCTATGTGTTAGTTGTAAATGATTGTTAGTGTGAGTGCAGTGGCGCACACAGGATTTTTTTTCGGGGGGGGGGGGTTATTCTATTAATAATTTACTATAGAGATTAATATTGTATAGCCCAAGCAAACATATAGCAAAATGTTGTATAAAAAAAGTATATCTAACATTATATTATTATAGTATAAATATCAATTATAATTTTTGTAATTTATTACAAATAGTTTATAAAGGTCAATATAATTAAAAACAGTTAACAAAAAAAAATTTAAAAAAAATAGTTTTTATCTAACAATATTATAAATTTAAAGCGTAATATATTAAAATTACATTTTAGTACATAACAAGTATTTAAATACTTTTACCTTTTGCTCAAGTACTTAACAAGACTACTGAAGCAAATATGCGTTAAAATAATTGAGATAATAATTAATAAGCTTTAGCTTTGGTAAAATAAATTATACCTATGAATATTATTTATTATTGTCTTTTATCTGTATGGTAGTGGTAGGTAAATTTATTTTGGTGACATCTATAACGCTATATTATCATTAATAATATTATATAATAATAGTAAATTGGATATTATAAAATATATACAATTTTATATATTATTATTTATTAGGTATAGGTAGGTACCTGAATACATTATAATATAAAAAATAAATATTAAAACCTTACTGAATGCTTATTTATATTGATAATAGAACCAGATCCAGGTAATTCATCTTTAGGTACTTCAATATTTGTGTTTGTGTAACTATGTGGACCATGAACATCAACATCATTTTGAGGTCTATTCGACTAAATAATTCAGAATTCAACAATTTAATTTATTGTTATTGATGCTTATGATCTTCATTGGGATAGTCAATTTAGTAAATAGTTTAATATTTTCATAAAAATTATCCAAAACTTGTAATTTAATAATTTTAATACTTATAGATAGATACATACTGTTTCATCAAGTTTACTCTTCTTCGAGAAAAAAGAAATAATTGTTCCGTCACGTTTGGCCATTTGAAATAAAAACAAAAATAAGTACCTAATGTAATATTATATAATATAAAACAAATACTGGCAGGTCGCAGGTACCTCACGTTCTCAGATTGAAAATTGCAAACTAAATAGGTATACTAATTACTAAATAATAGTAGATATGTGATAGGTTTTTGGAGGTACTTTTGCTTCATAGATAAGCATCGATATAGATAAGAATATCTGTAATATGCAGGCTATAGCCATGATAATTATGACGAATGTAAAAATATAATTTTAATAAAGTTCTAAGACAACATTTTTAATCGAGATCAATGATCATGTTATCAAGTGCTGCAGTACCTATTATAATATATAATATATTATTATAGATACTCTTATAACTTATAATTAAAGCAGTAAATTAAAGACCAATTTTTTTTCATATTTGTAAAAATCGTTAATACTATACTAGGCTTCGGAGAAATTTCGGGGGGGGGGGTTTACGACCCCTTAACCCCCCCTCCTGTGTGCGCCACTGTGTGAGTGAAATTAAATGCGGATATCCTCTCTCTAACGCTTATGCACATGTCAATAACTCGATAACCATATCAATTTCACTACACGAGTTTTATAAAAACATACATTTGTTTTGACAAAATTAAAGTTAGTTAACGTTGTCTGATTTTCATTCCTAAAAAATATATTTGAATTCAGCAGAAAAATGTCTGTAAATCGTAAGAAACATTCTCCGTTAATTTCAATTTTAATTATGATTCGAAAAAGTTCATATTTTCAAGTTTTCAATTGCAGTTCACCATAATATAAAATTTAGCTTTGACATTTTATGTCTTTGCTTTGGCACATAGAATCGAAAAATGTTACGTTACAAAAAACCGTTACGTTATTTATTATTTGTTTATAAATGGTTGCTATAGGTTTTAAAACTATTATAATAATAATTATTGATTGCCGTGAAATCAGTGTATTAGAAATCGAAAAACGTTACGTTACATAAAGCGTTACGTTAAGAAAAAAAAAAAAATATATAATTTTTCTCATCCGAGATTCAAACTCGATATACCCGCTTATCACACGATAGTTAGGTGAGACTGCATTAATATTATAATATTACAATATTACCTAGGTATATGCTACATATGATAGCAAGAACAACAATGACATAAAATGTGGTACTTCATTGCAGACTCGTATGCAATATGATTTTATATAATGAACTAGAACGCAAAAAAAAAAAATTCAGGAAAAATCATAATATGTTATCAATTCATTTTACAATAAGTATAATTCCAACACCAAAAAAACAAATTTTTATAAGTGCTTCGAGCCTTCATAAAATCTATAGAAAATTTTCTGATGAGTTCAAATTTTTTTTCAGATTCAAAATCGGACAACGTTAACTAACTTTAATTTTGTCAATAACTTTAGGTATTTTTAGCAAAAATTGACGGCAGTAGCGAGGCCCCAGCCTCTTAAACGACATTATATCACATCATTCATGTTGTTTAAAAACATGAGGTATTACACGTGGTGTGTTTTTTTATTGATGTGTTCCCTGTAGGAATAATCCACATCGCAAGCTAGAACACTTAAACGCCGGCAGACTATACAATAATATTGTAATTTACATAGATCGGTACAGCGAAAACTGCACTACTCTTGTATAACATTTTTCGTTATTTATACATCGATAAAACATATTTTTACATAAATAAACAAATAACGAATTTAACGTTGAATAGATTGTAATTTCAAATTTTTAATTTTTTCCCAACACGGCATTTCCACATTTTCAGCTTACTATTCTTTAAGAATTTTAGTGTGTTTTCAACCTCTGGAAAGGCGAGCTGGCCTCTGGTGCCAAGGGATTTATATTCATCAGATAACATAAGTCCAAGAGGAGTTAAAATACAGAAGTTTTAAATTATTAGAATGATATCCCCCGATCCTTGTTTAAAACTCAACACTGTAATAATATTATAGCTATATTATTATTATTATAACTATATTATTATTATTAATTTTATTATACCTATATATTATAATTTATTTATTATTATTTAGAGATGATTACCAAAGTTATATTATTTCTAAGTTTCCTACCACTCACTATTCCTATTGGACCTCTTTATTCAACCTGTTTTATATGTCGAGGGGAAACTCATTCATAAACATTTTTTTACTGTCCTGTAACAAATAGTGTTTATTTTGTATGTGTGACGTTGGTCGGCGATAGTGGGTGATGTGTTTGGTGTGGAGATTAAATGGCGATGGGACGACAATATTTATTATTTTAATAATATAACATTATTTTTTAAATAAATACATTTTACAAAATACTTAATACATAAAATCGTCTTACTTGGTTTAGGCATCTATAGTTTAGCTTACTTATGCGCCGACCAAGACTTATATCAAAATAAACCCTTATCGTATCTTGGAGTTAATAATTTTTCTATTAAGCTTGATGGGTGATGCAAGATTGTAGGTGCATAAAGATATTTCAGTCTTCAGATACCTACTTATGTGGCCTAGAGATATAATCCTTCGTTAATAATTGCATTCATTGTTGATGTGCGTGCGTCTGTGAATCTAAAAAGTGTAATTGTTTTATGTTGAATATAAAAAGAACTATACTTTACGAACGTTAAAAGAAAGTTAAAAAAGTTAAAAAGAATAAAGGAAAACATTTAGAAAATGAAAATTATAAATAGCAATCGAAAAAATATAAATATTATTAACAAAAGTAAAAACTGATGTATTATATATTTTATACATATTATGTAGGTATTTTGAACAAAATTAAAACGGTAATAACATCAATAAGAAAATAAGAAAATTAATAACTAGGCAGCATACTATTGAGCCAGCATATCTATTATTTATTATAATAATAAATATGAATAACTTATTAGTGTACGTTTGTTTATAGGTATTGTGTTTGTGGCCAACTGCACACGATACAAAAAATGAATACCAAGTAGGAATAGCTTTCCACTAAGGAGCTGCCCCTATTTACGTCCATAGTATCTACATTTAGTATTAAAAAAAAAACTACTTAACAAGAAATTAACGATCTTCCTGTTTAAATCTATTGTAATTCTAGTTCAAATCAGTTAGAGTTAAAAAGTACCTAGGTACTCAACTGAATAAAAATAATTTTAATGGAATTATTGATTATTGTATAATTTAGATAGCAGAGGTAGACCACGTCGTCCAGAAGTCTGAACTAGCAGTAATTTAAATAAATACAATTCACTGGCCGAAAATAATTATGTAGTAGTCACAATTTAGTATTTACTATTACTGTTTCACAAAAATATTAAAAGTAGATATAGGTACCTAGTACATAAATATACATTTGAAATTATTCTTAACAGATATACAATGTTAATTATACAGGAAATATTTTTAATTTGTGCACCTCTAAACATATTGGTTTAGTTGCGCCTATGGTTACACCTAGCAAAATTATAAGGATTTGGATGTTCTACCGGTTAA